CTTCGTGATGCTCCACTTGAACTTGCACACCACAACCTTTCTTGATTGTGTTGACTCGATGAAGACTAGTTGGTTGCTTCCCCATACTCCACTATGGGTGAGCCACTCTTCCGCACATCTTCACAAGTCCATTGTCACCACAAAGGACGGCAAACTTCAAGCATTTGATCTCTTCGTGATGCTCCACTTGAACTTGCACACCGCAACCTAACCCCACAAAGAACCCTCACAAAGACCATGGGTTAGTACACAAAGCGTAATTGACAATGCTTACCATACCATGGGATCACTTGATCCCTCTCGGTACATCTTCTACGCTTTGTGGGTTGATCAACTTGATTCACTCTTTGACTTAGTCTTGATCAACCTCTCACAAGACCAATCTTTAGGTAATTCCTTGAATAGCACCTTGGTCGACACAAACTCTCCTTGAAACCAACACATGTACTCCAAGAAAAGCCTATGGACAAAATCTTCAAATATAACTCAAGGCAACCATTAGTCCATAGAGATTGTCATCAATTACCAAAATCAAACATGGAGGCACCGCATGTTCTTTCACCTATGTTGGTATTTCCTTCAAAGTAAACACTAACTAGGGATCCCCTAAATGATTTTTGGGCCCATGATTTCACATGAACACGGACATTCTGCTGCAGCTCATTTGTTTGTTTGGTGTATACCTGAGGAAAAAGAGAGAGAATGGATAAAAATGGCTCATCAACCATCCATATTGAGGCCTACATTTAAATGGTTGGTCTATGCAACATAGGACCCTCTGTAGATAGTTTCTCAATATATAATTCTATACCAAAAACTGAATCTTTAGGACCCACATGTCAATCCTCTTTTTCTTGTGTTTGTTTTCGTAAAAGCCGAAAATCGCACTACTGTTGGTTTTTTGTATCCGTTGTTCCTATGTTTTGTAGATTTGTTCCTTTCTGATTCCTTAATGTTTCCCAATTCTGGTGGTTTTTCTAATAACCTTTGACTAGAGCAGGACCTTACTTTGAGATGCGTATTGCAGTTATAGTTCAGGGGTTTTACCTTGTCATGGGGATAGGCCTGACCAATAAGGAGCAACACACACATAGATGGTTGTGTAGAGGCCAAGCGAGTAAGAACAAGTTCAATGCTACACTTATAGAGAATAAATATCATAAAAATAAATCATCATAGCGCCTTCTATTTCCATGGTGGACGCTAATTGCTGGCGCTAAGTCAACCTCTACACAATTTTTTTAATAGGTCCATGAAAAAGGACCGAGAAGTCAACACTTATTTTTTGCATCATCCCATGCCCGGCTCCAGCATTCTTTAGTCCAACTACCTATAAACCAAGAAATCGATCCCACCGTTCTCTTCTAGCTCTTGGGCTTAGTGTTGGGCATTCCCCAAGATATATGTTGTGTTCATGGGTGAGGATGTCATTTCATCTACTCATGCCGAGAGAACCACCACACGTACTCCTGCATTAGCCACAAACACCTAAGGCATGACTCATCACTCCAAGCTGTTGGGTGCTTACATTCACTACCATGTCATTTGTGTCTATGTCCAAGGATGGCGTGATACGACATGCCGAGTGGTTCTTGTCAAAGCTCGGGATTGAAATCAAATGAGATACAATGTACTGCAGTCGGTGACGAGCCCAACCTTGCTCTTCTTATGATCCGTGCCCGTACAATCTCACAATGATGTGTTGGACCAAGTCAAACTGCTCAATGTAAGCTACCTAGACGCATCACTCACAACTGTCTGATGTGGATACCCTACCACTGCTACACTCACAGGCCATGCAGCACTCGGCATACCCCTGGACAGCATAGCGGGTTATGCCAAGTGTTTTCATGGGTTCTTTCCATAGCCTATGTCGAGTACAAAATCGAGGTACTCGGCATAATAAAGTAACATGACGGCTAGCCAATGGAAGTGGCGACACCACTTGGACTCTCAACAACTTCCTCCCCTGCACCAACCATAAGAGTAATCTTTGAAAGGAAAAGAGAGAAGAGCACTAGCTTGAGGATATAAGCCATCGGGAATGGAATGGTTGGTATGCGATGGCTTTCAATTATTACATACTAAATGTAAATAATGAGACCTTGCTGATGCAATTCATGGAAACCACTATGTTTTCTTTCCATTGATGTGGACCTGTATTTATTTATTTTTGATTTCTGAAGAGTTTGGCAAGGAAAAACATGAAAAATCACATGTGAAAAGTAATGGAATAGAATAGTTTTCATGGAGGTCGTTGATGGTTCGAGTTTGCTATCAATATATCAATCTTCTAGAGAAAAATATCACACGACTTCATGAAAGCTACCACTTTGAGCAGGTTGTTTCCTGTGTGCATTCTTTCGATCTTCTTGAAAGTGTTTGGCCATCAAATAGCATCAAATCGTGTCATTAATCTTTCTTTGGGAAACATTGTTTGAGATCTCACATTTGAATTTCCATGAAAATGCGCGTTCAGGTCTTCTCTATCTAACAAAACCGAGCGCAAAAACATGGTTAGCTCAGCTGATTATGGATATAATAAGATATGAAATAAGAAAGATCATGGTGAATTGAATGTCAGAGATTCCATGACGTACAGGACAATGTAAATTGAATGTGTTCCATTTAAGCTTCTGCCACATAAAAAGATCAAAGGTGATAATGTGAATCTAAGCAATAACTTACTAGCTACATGCAACTTTACTTAGAAAGCCACAGTGTAATTTAGCATAATACTCTATATACCAGTGTAGGCTGAAGCTTTTTTTCTTTAGATGACTCATTGGTCAAAGGGGTTTACTCCTCTTATTAATTAAAAAAGAGTATAACAATAGCCTCACCGCTCATTCTCTCGGAAACTTATGTGCTAAAAGAAATAAACTTTTTTTAGAAATGGAGAAGGACCCCCGGCCTTTGCATCTAGACGATGCATGCAGCCACTTTATTAATTATTCACATAAGACCTTACAAAGCCATACAACAGTAAGACTAAAGCCACCGTCTAGGCAACATCTGTCGCTACTCCTATCCAGTTGATGTAGGGATGCTGATAGTCTGGGCCTAATACCAAACAGACCTCGCAGCCAAACCTAACGTCTAAGACCTGAGGTCCCAACCAGGACGCCTGCCGGGTATGGGGCACCCACCAGTCCGGCGCACTCCTCAACTAGGACGCCTGCCGGGTATGAGGCCGCCGCAGCCACCTGCCACCAACCCATCTTCAGAGTTGTACTGTTGCATCTACCATGCCAGGTCACTCTGCCATTGACGCCACCACGACGCCAGACAACGTCGTCCTCCTGCGCGAGTCCATCCTCGCACATCGGACACCGAATCTGCACTGCGCCTCGCCATCGAGATCCATCGCTATCAATGTGTAGGATGAAGCACCGCTCCACCAAAGATGCGGTCTACTGGTCCCTTGAGCCCGTGCACACCTCCAAGAACAACGCCCCCAAGGGGGAAACGACATAAGAATGTCGCCGTTTTCCGATATATTGATCTAGGGTTTCCCTGGAGGTAGCAGACAGTGACTTTGAACTTCTCCTCGGCGATGCCTTAAAGAAGGGAATGTCACAAAATAGCGCCGCCACCGCTGGCTTTGGCAGTAAGCTGAAAGCAAGTTTTCAATCGGATCTGTTCGAAGGACCTCCATCAAGCATCTCGTGCACGGATCGCCGCCATCTCTGCCGGGGACTGGACGATGGATCCAGGCCGCCGTCGCCTGACCGGCCACGGCACCACCACGGTGCCTAAGTGGCGCCGCCAGGCCCACCATGCCCGCCTGTAGACGCCCTCCAGATCTGCCGGCCCGCGGAAGCCCATCTGGGCAAGGCGAGGCCCGCGATATGTGCCACCGCCACAGGTGCTCCTCAACCGCGGGGAGAATGCGCCTGCGCTGTTGTTTCCGTCGCACTCGCCGCCGGGCGCCCGCTGCTCCTTGTTGCCGGTGCATTGCCGAGCCATGAGCCGCAGCCGCCGATAGGAAATCGCAACCACCGCGCGAGGGGAGGGCCCCGCCGCCGCCGTTACTGGCCAGGCTATGCCGGCATGGCCTCGGGCGGCAGCAGGAGGGGGAGACTAGAGCGGAGGCCTAGGGCCGGCGGCGGTGGATCGCCCCCCGTGTCGCCAGGGGCTGGCAACACGGGGGTAGCGAAGGCATGTAAAAGGTTAAAAAAAATGTCTTGACCTTCGTACAACTTTACACTAGAATTAGTATAAAGTTGAGATACTTATTTTGAGACGAAGGGAGTATGTAATTTGATAAGAAGAAATGACGAATGATAGGACATGTATGATGCTAAACATTCCCAGGACAATGTAAATAATATTTGCCTCCAATCTTCACCACGAGTCTCTAGCAGAGACTAGGGCAAATTCAGGCAAAGACGAGGGCGAAACAGCAATCATTGCACCGGCCAAAACCAAGTCAAAAAACTTTTGCAGGCTGAGGGAACAAAAGGAAGCATATCTGAATGTGCCTGCGACTGCTTGCTGAACCGCCTCTGGTCAGTGTACTGAGCTACTTTTGGGCACAGAATATTGTACTCGAGTATGGTATTGTAATTAAGCTCTCATCCAACCACACAAAAATAATATCTGAAGGAGAAGTCACAGCTCAACAAAGACTCACCTACCCAGTTTCATCCAGATCTACAACCGTCTGCTCAACCTACTCACACCATGCATGCTTATGTGCTTTCTCTCATGAATAATCCAGAAAATTACATATAATCTGAAAAACATTTTTTTTAATCATTGGTCCAAAGTCCAAACTGAAAAGTTTCAGTTAATTATTTTATTCAAGAAGTTCAATACAAACCCTAAGAATTCAGATGCCAAAACACTCAGACAATGTCTTCACCAATCATTGGATCAAACAGTCCAAAATTAAAGTAGAGAACTACTGAAATACTGATGTAGATATCCAGGAACCCTAGCTAGCTAGCTAGCAATATAGAAACGCATCGCTCCTGCTGTGACTAGATAACAAGCTGCTAGTACTCATCCACCACTTCGATCAGCTTGCTGGCCACTGCGCTTGCAAAAACTGGAGACCCAGGATGAATCTGCATACACATCAACAAATGAGAACAAGAAAATTACCATCCTTCTTTTGCATATCTTGATTCTTGAGAACACTGAACGTACATGCATGGTATATGTAGATTAATTAAGAGATCTGTTGTGACGATGTGACTACCTTGGTGTTGAACATGTAGATGTGGCAGTCGCCGATCTTGCCGCCGGAGAGGTGGACGAGGTCTAGGTGGAGGTCGTCCAGAGCCCGGGACGCGGCGGCGAGGCACCCGTCGCGGCGGCGCTTGGTGAGCTTGATGTTCACCTCGTCCTCCACGATCCGCACGTCCACGAACGTCTCCTTGCTCCTCCGCTGGATGTACGTGCTCCGGATCGGCTGCGGCGGCGCCGGCATCGCTGGCATCACCGCGGCCGCCACCTCGCCTGCAGAGCACTCCCCATCTCCGGCCACCAGCGTGGGCGCCGGATCCACCACGTCCCCCTGGTGCTCCCGCCGGCCCCTCTTCTTCTCCACCAGCAGCGTCAGTTCCTCCACCGTCCTCCCAAGCTCCTGGATGTACTCGATCGCGTCATAGATCACCGTGGCCCTATCCTCCTACAAATTAATTAATTGACAGTTTGAAGCCCAGAAAAATTAAAGAATCACGAGATTAGTAAAAAAAACAAGATCGATAAGCGAAGTGCGACGAATTAAAAACAAGATGAACGAACGCATCGAAGGTGCAAACCTTGGTACGGTTGGGGATGAGAAGCATGAGAGCGGTGAACTTCTCGCTGAGGCGCTGCCGGCGCTGCTTCTCCTTCTTCTCGACGCTGCCGTTGGCCGGAAAGCCGTGGAAGCTGCTGCCGGCGCCACGGCCCCGCTTCCTGCTGCCGCTCGCCCGCTGCTTGGGGGAGCACTGAAAGCCGCCTACCATGTAGGCCGACTCCTCTTCGGCAGCACCGAACACCAGGGACGACGAACCGGTCCTCGGACCGCCGCCGGGTAGATACGCGTCGGCGGTGGCGGGGTGGTACTGGCCGTAGTAGTCCCGCAGCACGGTCATCGCCTGGTGGTTGGCGGCCAGCTGCTCGAACTGCGCATGGGGCTGGTCTGCGCCGCCGAAGAAATACTCAACGGTGGGCTGCTGCGGGGAGACGGCCGTGTCGACGTAGGACAGGAGGTGGAAGTTGAGCTCTGCGGGGACGGCTGAGCCGGCGGCAAGGTGGTGTGACTGGCCGGCGTCCATGTCCAGGCCCTCATGGGGCATCAGGAGCTCGCACTGCTGGTGATACATCTTCAGGGGGACTGATGGTAGAGATGAAGATACACAGCTGAACTGATGAGAGGAGAGGAGAGGGGAGGAGAGTGAGGTTGGGTTGTATAAAAGGGGCAAAGGTGATATTGGGTAGGAGAAAGCGGTTGGTTCCGTGTGGATTGGGAGGGTGAAAGGGACACTTGTACAACCAGAGCTGCATTGCAGCCTGCCGGCCTCTTTTTCAGAAGAGTGGTTTGTTACTGAGATTCCTCTCGGGTGGGCCCCGTTAACCTCCTCTTCACCGGACACTGGCAATTTTTGGTGGGTACATAAGATTTCTCAAAGGCTTGGCCTTGTCTCTACGAGCAATGCTACATCCACGGAAAATTAAGTACATTTACGGGGGATTAGCCAGTTGGTATTCTTTTATTGGAGATAGAGCGAAAGGGGGACCCACCCTAGTTGAAATCAAGGGGCGAGAGGATTAGAAGGGATGTTTCGTAACAGATTACGTAGGTCTAGCATTATTGTTGTCTCTACCCACACGCATAGACTGATACACATGCTGACTGGTTGTCTGCCTAACGCGGATGATGATGATGAAATCTTAAGCTTTGTATATAATTGACGGAGAAGAGATCGAATGATACTTTCATTTTCTAAAGGATAAGATTTGTTGTCCTAAAAAAGATAAAATATTTTTCTTTGGGCAATAGAGAGTAGAATATCCTGGATGGAGTAGTTATCTTTCATGAGTATGGTAGTATTCTAATTGGCTTTGAAAAGCTTATGAAAAAGTCAAATGGTCCTTTCTCTAGCCGACCCACAGAATGAAGGGCTTCTCCAAAAAATGACATGAGTGGGGCCATAACATCATCGCCGGAGGCAGTGCAACTATAAGAGTTAATGCCAACATTGGTCGTCACTTCAAAACAAAAAAGGACTATGCCAAGGTGATCCATTGACTTCAATGTTATTCTACACTGTTGTAGACATGTTGTCCATCTTGATTGAATGTGCCAAACAGAACGGTCAAATTACGAGAGTAGTGCTACACTTTATGCATAGGAGCCTCTCAATTCTACAATACGTCAATGACACAATTCTTTTTATGGGCAGGGCCTTGAAAAGGTTAGAAACCTAAAACTTTTGCTTTCAACTTTTGAGGAAATTTTGGATCTTAAAATTATTTTTGTAAGAGCGAACTATTTTGTTTCGGAGAAGCCAATGAGACAGTCGCAGAATACACTGACTTGTTGGTTGTTGCATGGTCAATTCCCGATTAGATATTTGGGAATTCCGATTCATTCATTATCGAAGCCTCACTAATGCGTGGAAATACATTGAAGAGCGAAACACTCAAGTAGTTGGAAAGGTAAGTTTCTCTTTATTGAAGGACAACTTGTCTTGATGAACTATCTACTCACAAACATGGTTCTATATATGTTCTCATTTTCTTTCAACTTTCAAAAGGGGTCCTTCATAAGGTTGGATTACTACTGGTTCAGATTCTTCTTCCAATGGGACACTAAAAATAAAAAACACAGGCTAACCAAATGAAGTAGGGTTTGCAATCTATAAGACATGGATGACTTGGTATATAGGACCTCTAGGTCAAAAATGATGCCTTACTCGGTACATGGTTGCACAAACTTCTTACGGAGGATGGTGTCTCACAAACCCCCTTGTTCAACAAGTATTTAAGCTCAAAAGGAGTGCCTTGTGCTAACTGGAAGCCTTGTGAATCACATTTTTGGACTAGACTAATGGCGACAAAGAAACATATTTTCCGCTTCGGTTCCTTCGCGATCAGGACGACTCTGAGAGATTATCTTCTAGGAGGACTAGTGGCTAGGAAATGCTATTCCTGAGGAACAATATATCTAGCCTTGTACCACAACGCTCATGATAAGAGTGATACCCTTGCGCACAAGTCCTTAGCTCCTCTCCATGTTACATATCTTTTAGGCGAGATTTGCTTGGCCCTCGTCATCTTCTAGTCCATTTGGATTGATTCACCTGACCAAAGGACAAGATAAATTTCAATGGGACGCAACTCAAAATGTGTCTTTCATGACCGACTATATGTACCAGTCATTTTGCGCTCAGATGCTCCCTTGAAAACAATAATAAAATTTGAAAGTAGAAGATACCACTGAAAGTTTTGATTTTTATGTGGCACCTCACTACTGGGAAAAGGCTTATATGTGGCCTATAATGAGTGGCGGGCGCAGCCTAGCACCCACCACTGCTAATTTTCCAACATAGTAGTGGCGGGTATTAATTCATGCCCGCCACAGGTTTATATAGAACAGTGGCGGGCGCACATAAGCATATGTCACTCTTACACTCTTTTGAATTTCTTCGCGGGTGAAAAATAGCAGTGATGGGAACATCTGACTTGTCCGCCACTGGTGCTTGGACAAGCAGTGGCGAGTAATGAACTGCACCGACCACAACTATATTTGGGTGAAACACGCCCAATTTTTTCAAGAGTTTGCAATGGCAGGCGTAAATAAGTACCCACCACTCCTACATTCTTCCAAATTCTTCACAGGTGAATTACAATAGTGGCGGGCCAAAGTTGTTTGCCCGCCACTGGCGCCTTTGCTTAGTAGTGCACTATTGGAATCATCACATACGCCGAGTGCCAGGAACACTCAGCAAATAGCCTAAAACCCATGGCAAAGGCTTTGCTGAGAGTTTCACTCGGCAAAGGCCACACAACATACACCTCTCAGGCAAACAAAAATTTACCGAGGGCCAGAACACGGGCACTCGGCAAAGGGTTTGCCAAGAGCCAAACAGTGCCTCTCGGCAAAATGAAGTGACTTCACGGCCACTGGTTCCGTCAGCTTGCCGAGAGCCACGCTCGGCATAACTGCCACAGCCAATTGCCAGTTGCTCCCAGCGCATGCCACTTTGCTAAGAGCTGCATTTGGTAAAGATTTGTTTGCGGTTCTATTTCTTCGGCTTTTCCCTCGGATCGCTACAGCAAAAACAAATATACAATACACAAACTTGCATTTGAAGTCACAAAGTCTAACAATGAACTCACATAAGCATTATATCAATAGTTCACACAAGCTTCATTTGAAATCACAAAATAGCTCTTTGGTACAAGTGCCTACTTACTAAGCAAAAAAATGGTCAATGCATGTCTACATGCGACCACATGATAAAAGAAACACCACAATTGTGACAAATTGAATGAGAATTATTAAGTTCTTCCATTCATTGAACCCGATAAGCTGTTTCTGGCTTGCACCATTGCCTAATTCAGATTTTTTCTTCTGGTTAAGCACATACTGATTGTAACGATAATGTGCCTTCTCTCTGCTATTGAACGAGCATGGGAGATCCCTTTGTAGCAAAGCACTTTTTCATTGCATTCAAATCATGAATGTAGACTCCTGGACACTTACCTCTGTACACCGCATACCACTTCATCTACAAATAAAGAGAAAAGGAGGCAGAGGAGGAGGTGTTCATTACTCCTGATTATTTGATAGATCCTTTCTCTAGTTTGGAAAGTAAGGAGAGGAATCAGAGGGGATCATCCATGTCAACGATTGTTTTTCCGGAATCTGTGGATTCCAATTTCTTTGAAAGTTTTAGAGGATTTCTCGCTGTCAATGTTTGGAAATGAAAACTTTATGGCTTTTCCTTTTTCATTAAGATACCCAATTACTCCTCAGTGATTGAGGGGGCTGGGCGCTTAGGGTGCTATATGTGTGATTAGTCGAGGTGTCTCAGTTCGTCTCAACTCACAGCGAACCACTGTTGTTTGCTTCCTCACGCACTGAGCGGCATGGCGAGCCAGGGGGTAGGGAGTGTGAAGAGGGGAGCGGCAGAACAATCAGGAGGAGCGAATCCTAGCGTACTGCTGGCACCGGCAGGTGGGGTGCGCTCAACGTCGGACTCTTTGGAGGCTGGATCCTCTGTGCTCCCGGCTACCCCTGATCGTGCTGGGAAGACGGCGTCCAGGAAGACCAAAGGGGATGGGACCCCTCTTGTCATCGACATGGATGCAGCGCGCAAGGCTGTCAGCGGCCACCTCGTGGTCGGCCGGCTCCTGTCCCCTTTGTAGGCCAACCCACGCGTCATCGTCGATGAACTCCGGTCCACGGCGTGGAAACACTAAGGAGTGGTCATCGTCCAGGAGGTGGCCTCTGATGACGCGAGGTTTGTCCTCAACTTCGCCGCCGAGGGTGATCGACGGTTCGTGCTAAAGGCGTAGCCATGGCACTATAAGCGGGATGGTCTCGTCTTCGCTGAGTTCGACGGCAAGGGCGACCCGACCGAGATCGACCTGGGTGTAATGGCTATCTGGGTCCAGGTACGCGGCCTCCCTTTTGAGCTCAAGACCGTCAGCATGGGTTCGTCTTTTGGGGATCAAATTGGGGAGGTGCTAGAGGTTTCACACCGCAACCATGTCATTGTGGAAAAATTTCTGCGTGTGCGGGTGGAAGTTTTATTGCACGAACCTCTGAAGAGTATAGTTGAGTTTATTCCTTTGGGTAGCTCGAAAGTAGTCAAATATGATGTACGGTATGAAAAACTACCTTTGTATTGTGAGTGTTGTGGGATCGTAGGCCATACATCTGAGAGATTTTGTAATATTCCTAGTGATAAGAGAGTGCCTACCTTCCCTAAAAATCTTAGCGTAGAAGCTTGCTGGAAAGGACAAGGTGTAAGTAGAAGAGTTCTTAATGTTGGGGGATCTTCCCGTGGAGAGAAGGTTCCGATTACCGGCATCGACATCAACAAGGCCGTCAAGACTATGGACGTCATCAAGGTGGCTTCGGCCGTGAGAGAACTCACTGTCTCTGAGAAAGAGGCTGCGGTCCCTGCCTCTTCAGCAACCATGGCGACGAAGGAGTTTGCAGGCGCTGAACCGGGCCAGGAGGGCCAGGCGAAGGCGCTGGGGAAACATGCCAGTCTCGGCCAGGAGGGCCGGGAGCTGGCGATGCTCAAGAACCCCTGCGGGGGATTGCCTTTTGGCCAGGAGGGCCAATTGCCGCTGCATGTGGCCCTGA